ACACTCAGTGATCAGTGGAGGGCGAGGGTAAGCGTTTGCTCGGGTTGTGAGCGTTGGTGAGGCGCCCTGGCCGGTGCCAGATTGAATCATATTCCGACACGCTCCTGTATAAATCGCGCATACCTAAATATAGATGGTTCATAAGTGTGAGCCATCCACGGATCATGAGAATGGCTAGTTATTGATAGATCATGTGTCTATACCCATCTAAGAAAACATGTGTATAAACTGAGCAGTTTCGCGCTTCACTTCTGGGCATGATGACGCTTTCGAATAAGGAGCAAGCGACGCAAGCGGCATGCGTAATATTCCCCGCATACTTAAGTCGGTAAGCGACATACCAGTTATTCCAGATGTTTGCATCAGAGAAAATGGGAGGCATATGGTGTTGAAAACTTTCGTACTAATCTGCATACCACAACATGACAAGAAGACCCGGCACATCGGCCATTTCGGTAGCAAGACGGGAGCAGAGCGGCACTTATCGGCAGTGCTGAAGGTACCTGGGGTGAAGAACCATACGTGTCAGGTTTAACGTCAGCTTCAACGACTCCTTTTCTCACAATAAATCCAATTAAGATACATCTGAAAACATTTTGTAACACCGAACGTCACTCCGCTAGAAACCTTCGAAGTAAGGGAGCTATGTGAGCGCCGGTCCACGACGCGCCTCCGATCACGCGCTCCGCGTGACGCGGGTGTATGCCCCGACAGGGGGGGGGGGGGGGGGCGACGCCGCTGGCGACAGACCGTCTACACCGAGCGGGCTCCTTACAGTTCACAACGGCAGTCTGTAAGCCACAGGTCTGCGGAAGTGCTCAGCGATAAACAAAGCGAGCCAGCTGCCCACTGCCAGAACGGCATGGCATGCTCAGAATTACTAATCACTTATGATGATTTATTCGGTGAGTGTTCATATGGGTCGTGCACTGCATCGTAATTTATTTAGAATGCGCTTTGTCTGAACAATCTGTCTTGAGAGTTTCGCTGTTGTGCGAAGCCTGCATAAAAATATGATGTGAAAGTTTTGCACGCTACTTTGCTGAAAAAACAAAAGTTGTGCTGTCTGTTGCAAAATATAGGTGGAGAGCAGTAGCATACGAACAGAGATGTGTAAGCACACAAATATTGCAACGTGTCAGTGGAGTTACATTGCTATGTTGATGTGGCAATTATGAACTTAAATGCAAAAATTTAGGATTACTCTGTCAACAAAAGTGGTAATTCTTTAAAGGGAGTCATTCAGTATTTCATAACTACAGAGTCAGGAGAACATTTTACAAATGATGAAAACAAACACTTTCACTTAGAGACAAATACAAAATTACAAGCTCGCAGGAGCCTTTTTTAACGACACTTATCAAAAGTTTTGCCAAAGTACGCAAACTATTCTAGACTTAAGCGGCAGCAATTCAGTAAGTTTGCAGCTAGAATGGCCGTATTGTGCGATGCATTGGACTGGTGTAAAGGGCCGGTATGATCGCTAGATGGTTAGGCAGTTACTTGCGAGTGGTTGATTGGGTATGTTAAACTGTGGATTTTTTTACCTTGGATTGTAATTTCACTGCCGTTAGATGTTGCGTTCAATTATCACGACATGTACATGCGAAGACACGATACAATCGGGTAGAGAGCGCGTTTTTCGAGAGGCGTTCGATGGCCGCGCCCGCTGGCTCGGCTCCATCCTTGACAGGGCGGCGGGCATTGAAATGTGTCCTCCCACCGTTTCCTGCCTTTTCACAACGCCAGAGACTATGCAGACACCTGGACGTAGCCTCAAATCTACGAAGGTAAACGACAAATAGCAGCCAGTACAAGCCTGTAAACCCGTGGATCCGATGGGTGGGCCCACTGAGATCTCATAGCGCGCTTAAATATCCTCTTCTATTTTTGTGGTCTTGAGCACAAGAAATATATATATATATATATATATATATATATATATATATATATATATATATATATATATATACAAGGATGCATCCAGGGAGCAAAGGGGTCGTGCCCCTCATCGGTCGTGAAACCATAGTTTGCTCCCCAAGCAGCCAGACGTATACTGTTACGTGCATGCTATGTAATGATTCCAACAATTAATTGCGTTGGTTTCTTGTTTTGCTGCTGTTCAGACAGTCATCTGTGTCAACAGTCATCACATACCCGCAGCTACGGGCTGTGGTCTTAAATGATTAGTTCATTTCTGGCCGATGGCTCACTGCACCGGTGGATCATTGCACCGTGCACCGCTCACTGATGGATCATTGCACCATGCACCGCTCACTGATGGATTATTGCACCGTGCACCGCTCACTGACGGATCATTGCACCGTGCACCGCTCACTGATGGATCATTGCACTGTTTAAGAAATTGGCATTTCGAGAAGTGATCTACCCACTTTTCTGTTCACTGGGTCCCCGGTGACTCGGAAACTTCACCATCACACCCAGCTCACCGGTGTCACAGGCTGCCCTGCTCCCCGCATATAGCCGTATATATATATATATATATATATATATATATATATATATATATATATATATATATATATATATATATATATATGTATATTGGTACCAAACGTTTTAGCCGTCTTTAAGCACCTTGAATACAGCAGCTCAAATCCGTTCATAAATTAAATTTTTGACTTGTTTTATGACTTGGCTTTTGAGCCTGTACACCTAAATATCGTTGTTGCGCCCATTACGTCATTCTGAGTGGGCAGCGTGCCCGTTGTCAACGGATCAGGGATCGTTGGGTTTCTAAGCCGCAGTCGATCCCCTAGCGGTAAACGAACGAAACGCAACTTAATATTACTACCACGGCGGCGGTTAAATCAATGACGGCCCTAACACTTTCTAGTTATGCTAGGTGCTTACGGGTTTTTGACGCAACAGACACAAATATGCCACCAAGGGGGGGGGGGCTCATGATACGGAAAAGCCCCTTAATATTGAGCGCAGCTGTTTACACTGCACACAATCCGGTGATAAACAAAATTGTCACGGGGTTAGCATCTACTCGACTACCACAGACAGCGATTGTCACACCCAACAGCAGAAAGTCAAGGACAAGGTCAACGGATTCCCAATTTGATGTGTTCGGCACGTTGCTGAGATAACCGTTTTCAATGCCAGGACGAACCATCATTGATAGTCCGTTGACATGTTGGTATTGTACCTGCCTGTTAGCGTTTGTAGCGTTTGCAATCTGTTCGCAGTGCCTGCTGGTGCGGTGAATAAGTCTGGGGCTCAGCGAAAATAAAATCCTAGCCCCGCCGATCCAAGGCCTGGTATCGCCCCCCCCCCCCGCCCCCGCTCGTTGTGATTGCCAATCATGTCTGCACCCGTGCGTGCAGGCTCCCAAACGCAAGGCGGCTACTTCCCAACATCGAGCGAAAACTTTGTGTTAACTTCATGACTTTGGAAGCATTCAAGGTGGCGATCGGGTCGGAACGGATGGCATCTGGTTGGGTCTGGTCGGGTTGGATTAGATTGGGTCGGATCGGATGGCATCTGGTCGGTTCTGGTCGGGTTGGATTACATTGGGTTGGGTCGGATGGCATCTGGTAGGGTCTGGTCGGGTCGGATCGGATGGTATCGATTCAGGCCAGGTCACGTCGGCCAGGCCAAGTCAGGTCAGCTCAGGTCGGGTCGTTGGAGATCCGCGCCCGGTTCATGGCCTACCGGCCGTGACCAGTGCAGCCGGCAGACGAATGACGGGCATTTTCTAACAAGAGTTTTGATAAAAGAGCGACTGGGAGGCACTGAAAGGATCTCCCAAGGTGGCGGATTGCCATTTTGATGTTTTTTTTCAGTTAACGCTCATTGGGTCAACGATAACATCTTAAAATGTTATCGAGCTCGGATCATCTGCATTCCCCCGGGTTCCCGTGACCCTGCAACGACTTCCGCCTGTAGACGCTCCGTCGTGTGATTGTGCGGGGTGTGCGCCCCGGCTACCAGCTAGTCGTGTTTTGGGAGGGGGCGCCTGTGAGCTCGTGGGAGCCGCTGAGCCGGCGACGGAGCCATGGGACGGCGGCTGCGACTCCCACGATGTGCTTTTAGGGCCGAAGACGCGCACCCGGCGGCGGCGGCGGCCTGTCGCGGAGGCAGCCTCGCTGTCTTCCGAGCTCTACATCTGACTGGGTGCCGGGGGCGTCACGTGACCGCGGGTTTTCCCGATTCGCCGAGGGTCAATGGTCGGCCGCTGAGGCGGTGGCAAGGACCCGACGCTCGCAGGCGCCAGTCGGTTTTTGGACGAGGCCAGGCGAATGCACGCTACGTTCTCTTACACGCTTCAACGCCTCAATGGCACATGAGAGCCAAACTTCCTGAATAATTGCATTTATCTCGGATGCTTCTCCAACGACTTATGCCGATCTCCTCTGTCCCGGTCAGCCTCTTTTGAGTGGTAGGCCACCTTCACCCTTGCTTCCGTAACGTTCTGCTGCACAATAAGCCTGCACCGCACCTTCATTGGGTGTGGCATGCCAGCAGCCTTCAGCAGAATGGTTTTGATTCAGCTACATCCAGCTCATGCCGGATCAACACGAACCCACGGAGCTCGCGGGTCACATGCCCTGCGACGCCGCTCAGCCACGAGTGTTCCCTCAGCCACCACGGAAATATGGGCCATTCGAAAAAGCTCGGGTCTGCTAGGGTCTATAAGCCTTTACACTGGCATTGCTCTGGCGTTGCGAGACATTCCGTAACAGAACTTCTCTAACTACATGCAAAAGCGTCTTAACAAAAAGTTTAAAACCGGTTTGGTGCCTAAGACCTCGTATGTTCAGAACTCTCAACGCAACAATGTGTGCGGGGCTTTGGCATGTTTTCAGGCACGTGGCCACCGCGGAAGTCGGCCCTGGCGGCTGGCGTTGGTCCGGCAGCGTCGGCCGGCCCATGTCGTCCCTCCCGTCCTGCACGGCTCGGTCCCGTAACCTCTCCACGCCGCGGCGGAGCGAGGACATGGGCTGGTCCGCTCACTGGCAACACAATGCAGCGTTCAAGACATTACGTGTATTGCTCCAGTCTATAACCGCACGTCAGAACAATGATTCACAGATCGGAGCCGCGTGGCGCGGGCGACGGGCCAACACCACCCTCGGGGGAGGGCGGGACAGACAACACGGCTCCACGGGCCCTGGCTAACCGCCAGCGACTACGGCAGAACGAGGCTCGAGACGACACGCGGTATGCCGTGGAAACCCAGCCCGGACAGAATTGGTTCCTAAGAGAAATACGAGCCTATCGGTTGACTGGAAGTATCAACACTGAACTATCACGGCATATACGACGACTATGCGGCAAGCGTAGTCTCAACATGAATATGAGGAACAGATGAAAAGTAGTTGGCCATCCACACGTTTTTTTCTGTACAACGGAGGTGAGTGGCATCACCACCAGTTAGTAAAGGAGACAAAAGGGCGCTGAACATTGTCTACAGAGCGAAGTAAGGGACAATCTCGTCGAACCAGGCATCATGCGCGAGCACGCAAACACACACACACACACGCACACACACAGACACACAAACACCGACAAACGGCCACCGGAAGGGTGCTTCAGGAAACAACTGCACCGGGCCGGACAGCGAGCGGCGGTGCTTCAGACCGCAGCACCGACCAGAATTCACTCCACAGCTCACGGGACGAGCACAGCACTGCACGCCGCCATCCTCCGCACTGAACGCAAGCATATCAGTCTGGAAGCATGTTGTTCACAGCTGGCCGATCTTGCCACGGCGGGCCTCGGCTATCCCAGTCACAGAACGAAGAGAAACAGACAGTTACGAAGTCACCGACGCGCCTCGAGTCATGACTCGCCGCGAACAAGTACCGCGACGCCCGGTCCCGCCAGTGCAGCTAACCTTCCGGGCGACAAAAACGCGTCAGTCGAGCGTAACGGTCGCCCGCTCTCGCCGACATGTTCAGAAGCGAGCATCACGCTAACGGGAACTGCACCTCATACGTCGGCGCGCCCGATCACAGGTCTGCGTTTGGCGCACGCAGACACTCCCGCGCGCGCTCCCACCCGGCGCGTCGCCAGCTCGGCGCCGCCGGTCCACACCATTCGACGAGATGAGGCGGCGAACTGGCACCGCGCAGCCGCGCCAGCAATCACAGAGGTGCGGACTGGCGAGCGGCACGGACCGGCTCCGCATCGACCGCCACCATTGGCACAACCCGACGTCCCGGTCCGAGACTGAGCCCTACGGGGCGCGCCGACACAGGGCCCCTCAGCCATGCCTGGAGAGCGCCTGTGGAGAACGGCACACGACTGACACCGCGAGACCGAGATCTGACTAGCTGAAGGGAGCGGCTGAGACGGCGTGCTGAACTAACACTGATCTATCACAGAACGGTATTCCGACAGTACGCTCCCTACATGCAAAACATGAAATCCGCGACAAGACACCGCAACTTGCCACTGCAAGTCACCCGGCGCCAGGGTTGCGAGTGACCCCCGGCAAGTCGACGTCTGCATTCTCCGTGCCGATCATCTCCCGTCGGATGACTGCGGCTCATCGACAACGGACACGTCTCCCTGACCCTGGATACCGGTCCGGACTTGGTCGCGCTGTTCAAAGGGACGCGGCCTAACGAATGTTCGTTCTCTGCTTCTGATGTGCTCTGGGGGATTACCCGTACGCGATCGAGGCCTCCGTCGGTGGTGCCCCCGTGTGCTTGGTACGTACTGGAGAGCACGCATGTCACCGATCAGCAATCCGTCATGGGTTTCGCCAGTGATCCTTCGCGTTGAGATGCACCGAGACATGCACGTACTGAACGTGGGTATCGCGGCGCCGTGGGTCTGACACGTCTGTTGTGGTTTGAGGCTTCATCACTGGTCGCCTCTGTGCCTGGTGGCACCAGCCCAGAGCGACAAACCACCGGGGTCGTGCGCCCGGTGTGTTCTACACATCTCACCACTGGGGATCTTCCGTCAGGTCAGTTCTCACTTCGGTGCGTTCGGCGCACCCTGCACACTTCACTGTTGGGGTGTCCCGTCCGTGGCGTTTGGCATGCGCTGAGCAATTCACCACCGCCGTCTCGTGTTCGGCATGTCCTGAGAAGGTCACAGCCCGCTCGCCGCCGGTCTACTCGCCGGCGGCTCTGCCGGGAGTGGCCGGCCTGTCCGTCGGCCCGTCGTGATCGCCCGGTCCGGCCGGCGCCGTCGGCTCGCCCGGCCCGGCCGGCTGCTCGCGCTCCTCGCCGTCGGTGGCGTGCTGGCTGGCCCAGCGGCCGATCAGCTCGGCCACGCGCTCGTGCTGGAACCGCACGGCGTCCTCGCGCGGCGTGTTGCCCCAGCGGTCGCGGATGGCCGGCGACACAGCGCAGTGGTGCAGCAGGAACTCGACGCACTCGAGGTGGCCCTCGGCCGCCGCCACGTGCAGCGCCGTCCGGCCGTCGTAGTCCCGCTCCGACATGTTCATCCCCGACAGCTTGTGCCTGTCGGCCCGAGGGCGTGGTCAGCGCGCGTGGGGTTACGAGGAGCGGTGACACGGCTACCAACGACCAGTTTTGTCTGCCGGCCGGCGCAAGGTACCTACTAATCGACGAACGCGCCGGAGGGAGGCGTTTCCATTCCGAACAGATTGAGCGTGGTGGTCCACGGTAGTGACCGCACTGGCCGATACAATGAGAGGCCAGGTATTCCAGACATCGACGATACACAGGCGTTGACTCAAGACAGTGACTCCACCGTCACTCTATTCTTCTGTCTGTTGCGAGGCATGGCCATCCATGCTTGTCTATCACACCAATCCGGTAGAAGCAAGTCTAGGTGTACACTTACGAGCACGTTTAGGTGCACGCGCAGAGCTACAGAAGGAAAACAGACGGCGAGCATGCATTCTAGTGGCAGGGCCCTGTTCCTAATAATGAATAAGATCCGTTCGCTACACGCCACGTTGGTAAAAAAACATTGCAGTTCTACTACCACCATACCTTCTCATGGCGCTAACGTCCCCTGAAGCTGCGGAGAAGAGCAGGTTCACAATGTTGATGCCCTTTGTTTCGTGCTTGTGCCGCCTTGGGTCCTTCTTGTCCGTGCTGTACTTTAAGTTATCATATCGGTGGAAGTTGAACATGTTGACCAGCTCCTATCGGCAAGAGGGTACATTCAAACATGGCTGTCGAATGTTTCGAAATTCTCCGCGCACTACGATCTGTCATTCTTAGGCCGACGAATTTTTTTGACCCGGGTTTAAGTGAACATGACTACGAGCCACGGGGTTTGTGGATGATCTATCCTACTTCGAAGTAGGATCATTCAAAAGCTTTCTGGCTACAATGTGAATACCTAACAGCCACGCATTTTGCTATACTCAGCATTCTCATGTTAAGGTATCGAATACCATCGGCTTCTGAAAATATGCTATGGCTCTGACCACAGTGCATTAATCAAAGCCTTAGCATTGCGAGTGCGCGTCATGTGGATATATACATAAACGTTATGGCACCTGACTGGCGTCGTTGACTGCCTGTAAAGCGCCCGCATCTCTTGGCTTCAGTCAGAGCGAGCCAGGGCACACCAGACGCTACGCGGCGTCCTTCCCGTCGCGATCTGGCCTCTCGCGCTCCCACCGGACGACGCCGGGCGCTACTCACGCTGCAGAACTGGATGCCGCGCACGGAGTTGCCGTACATGTCGAGCGGCGGCGACCACAAGCATATGCCCATGACGTTCGGCACCACCAGCATCATACCACCGGAGACGCCCGACTTGGCCGGCAGACCCACCTGGCGGCCGACGGCGACACTACGTCAGCACAGGCCCGGCGGACGATGGCATGCAGAGCCATGTCAGATGGGGACGGCTGCGCTACAATATCCAATGCGTTTGCGCAGTCACAGTATTGTTGGCTACAAGCGAGACTTAATCGACGTTTCGAGGCATGCGGGGAAGCGGCAGGTCATGGACGAAAAAATGTAGCAGTGCGGAGAGGGGGGGGGGGGGGGCGGGAATATATATTTCATCTGTGTGTTAGTATGCCAATTACCACATACATAGACATGAGCGTAGTGGCACCCACTTAAAAACACGGCCACATATTTATAAAAAGCGTAGGATCATCCCATCGCTTACATCTACAGCTTAGCACACCGAGCTACCCTTACTCGCGTTTAAAACGGGAAGACACCATGGTGACATTCTGACTTGTGAACAGACCGTCGAAACCCACCGGACACGCCCCGGGGTACGCTGTCCTCCCCTCAGCCCGTCCGCCCACAGCGATGCTTCCCACCGGAGCCTGTCCGGACCACAGTGGTACCTTCCGCCGGAGCCTGCCCGGACCACCGCGGTACCTCCCGCCGGAGCCCGTCCGGACCACCGCGGTACCTTCGCTCGTGGACCCGTCCGAACCGGACGGTACCTTCCACCGGGGCGGTAATGACGGCTGAGGCGCACATCCAGGGGAACGGTAGTCATTTTTGTATTGCAGGAGTATTGATCAAACATCGATTCAGAGGCAATGGAAGGCCTCCCAAGTTGGGAAGGGAGGGAGAGGTGAGAACCAGTTTGATCATTTATTTCCAGCCAAAGGTATATCACCATAGCAGCCAAAGCCATGGGATCAATATTAATCGAATTAAAATTGAGGAGGGGGGGGGGGGCGGGGACTCAGACACCGCTGTCCTTTCACCCATCAGCACGCGCCCACGCGCGTGCCCTGGCCAGGAGCCGGCCCGGACCCGAGCAGTGACGGCTCCTCCGCCGGCCGGTGACGGCACTCACGTTGAAGGCGAACTGCCCGCTGTAGTCGTACATGCCGCAGCTGTGCATGAGACTGAGCACGTCGCGCACCGAGTCGGTGGACATGACCTTCTCCTCAGAGGTCGGGCAGATGCCGCCGTTGGCCAGCGTCGCCGCCACCACCGACATGGCGTCGCACGTCGTCTCCATCGAGCAGCACTGGAGCAGCACGGTGAACCAGTGAACATCAAATACCGTAGCGGCACGGTAAGGTGCACGCTCGACGTTGTTGTGGGGCACTAAAAGCGGCAGAATGGGGACGTATCACAGGATCGATGCAAACTGCAGGACATGCGTGGAGGGCATGCATGGAGGGCTGAAGCAGTCTGCGCGGACGCGATATCAGTAACGTATACGAAATAGTCACATATTCTTGCATCCATTTCCTTGCACGTACGCTCCAAGGTGAAGCCATCAACCCGTTCGGTATCGTTAACACAATGAGTTACTGCCGAAACCGCGTATGCAGTAACTGTTGCCATACATGCTAGTCCAGTCGCATTCACAGACCAAATCAATACCGGCACGACCCACGGAGCCCTCAAGCCGGTGCTCACAGCACGAGACGCGCCATTTCCCCTCCCCCGTGCGCTGTTCAATGGGGCGCGCCATTCCCTGTCGCGCGGCAAGGCCGCGCGGCCGGCCGGCGCGCCGGCGCGTGGCGCGCGCTCCTCCGGCATGCCTGGCGCTCGTTCCGTCCGGTGCCGGCGCCAGCGCCGCCGCGCTGGCAGCCGGCCGGCGCCGCTGACGACGCGAGCGACGCGGCCATGGGGGGGGGGGGGGGCGTGCACGGTCGTGCCGTCCGCGGCGTGCAGGCCGCCATCCGCAGCGCGCAGACGGAAATAGACGGCCGCGGCGGGTGTGAAGGTCGGCCCCGGGGGGCGCCGCCGGCCGCCGTCAGTTCGGGTGATGTGTCCACTCTTTCGTGCTACCGGGGGCGCGGTGACGACTCCGGCTGGCGCGCCGCGGCGAGGAAGCGTTTTGTTGCACCATTGGCATAGCTTGCCTCACCGAATGAAGTCACTGATTCGGATATGGCCGACGGTTTAATTAATTTCGCTTCACTGGAGGCCAGTGGGCTCAGGCACCTACTTGGAAGTAGAAGTCCATAACTTCGCGAAGATTGGACTTGGCTGGAAAGCACTTGTTCTCGCGCATGTAGAAGCCGAGGGCGTAGTTGCGGTCGGCTGCCTCGCGCTCCGACAGGAACACGGCATTGTTGAAGCCGACGTATTCGTCGCCGGCCAGACGCTGCCAATCAGAAACGGACACGTGTCGGAGGCGACGTGGGTATGATCTTAAAGCAAGCACACCGGAGACTGGTGATCAAAGGTGATGATAGCTTGTTTCACTTGGCAGAGACCGCGGAATAAAATAAAGAAATATTGCCCCACCTACGTTAAGTCAGGCAACACGGTGTGTGGGTCGCTTAGCAATACGCCAATGAGTGCTGGCTGATCAATCTGAAAATGACTTCGAGGAGTGCTTGGGACATCATTTAGCACAGGTGGAATAATTATTCAGATTATTGCCTCCGTAAATGATTTTACGAGATTAGTTAGCAAGAAGTTGTCATAATCACAGTCAATCTCCGACTACATAACTTCCACATAGCAGAACAATGACACAAAATAGATTTAGAACATCCGTGAACGCTGCATTAGAAGTCTCCAAAAACGATACAATACGACAGCAAACTCAAAATAGAAATCTCCTTAAAAGAGAGCCGCAATCACAAGCGACATCCCCAATACCGATGTTGTGGAAGTCCACACGAAGGCAACACAGGTCGGCCATTCTCAGTCAGACAACGGCACCACAGGAAAGCAGACTCCCGGTTACAAATAAAAAACTCCAACACTGCAGGACATGTGTGGTCGGACAGCGAACATTAGCTGACATGGGACAAGCTAATCAACGTCGACAGAGAGCCGCGCTGGGAAGTGCGAAGGATGAAGGGAGTGGCCCTAATGGGACTAGCTCCAAACCTCTTCAGACAGCCAAGTGCGGGCATTAGCCCGCGCTACGAATGTTTCACAGAAGTCCTAGAGACAAATAGAGAGAACTTCTAGCGCGCCACTGGGCGTCCATCTCGATAGTACAGACTGAAGGATGTGTGCCGAGATCGTGAAGCGCAGTGCACCATCGACAGTACACAGCGTCGGTCAGCTGGCCGAAGGTTTGATGCGACCCGCAGCTGTCGGGAACTTCCAGGCTGTGACAAACGCATGGCAACGTGTCACATATCTCCAGGTCCTTCTCAGGATCAGTTTACACCTGACGGCGGCCAGATCAGAAACCGTTGTGAAAAAACAGCAACGCCGGCAACGCGAGGGCGTTTGTTCGCATAATTATTCCGTGTGCGTTTTCAAGACGGTGTGAAGTTGCGACCAAGTCTGATCCATGCATCGCTGCATCTATAGCAGGTGGATACGACTACAATTAACACGCGCCCGGGCGACCAGTCTAACACCCTTCACTCGGGTGGGCGGTCAGTTTGATCCCCGCCCCCCTCCCCCCTGAGATCTCCCAAACTAAGACAGCTAGAGACACCAAACTCACAGGGCGTGTTGGTTTGTATGAGAACTCACTTGGATCAAAGTTTGTGGTTCCTAGGTGATGACTTTTGGGTCAAATAGGGCCAGACACAGTCAAAAGCGACCTTGTTTAAACTTTCGAAGGTTACGGTGACCAAAATCATACAAGACTGCTTTGAGTTTTGCATCTGAATGAGCGACAAACATTCCGTTAGGCCGCATCTCCCTAAACCAAAATGTCGACCCGGGTCATTTTAGGTCAGTGACCTATTTTGACCTCTAGGACGTCCATGGAAGATGTACATGCGGCTCCCGTTATCAATAAATTCGAAATGAGCACCAGAAACTGCCCCATACAACAGACCCCAGAATAATGAAGCAGGTTGGTTTTGGCCTTGGTCTGACCCTCATGCCTGACTCCAGGTCAATAGAATTTGTTCCTCCTAGTTGTGTTGTCTAAGAAAGCACCTCAGTGATCTATGGCTTCGTAACACTTGCATTGAACACATTCGTAACACTTGCATCAGATTGAACGATTTCCTGGAAATTGACTTCGTTGAATCCATGGCCTGACTTTGACCTGCCGTAGGTCAGTCACCTCACGAGAACACCTATATTTTTGACAGCACACGATCTGCTATTCAATTTTCTACAGCCATGCAAAATTTGGCGTGGCTACGCCGCGTCGTTCGGAAACCATTCCGGAAAAACTCGGGGGGGGGGGGGGGTAATTGACCCCCAGCGCACAATACAGCCAACAACCGTACTTTGATCATAAACGTTTGACCAAACCATTCCCAGTCAAAACTTCACCAGGTGTGCTCCCGACTTTCTGATTACCACAATACATGCTTGCATTTCTTCAATCCCGAGGTCAGTGACGAACTTCCGAGATCCAGGTGTCCCGATAATCCAAATACTTTAGCATGTCACTACCCATATCCCGTGACAAAGCACCGCGATCCCTGTGACGGGAAAGCACAGCCCCACGCCCCTCGTCTGACTCCGCCACCAACGGGCGCGCCGCGCTGACCCAGCCACGTCGCCCCGGAGCGCACGGCCGGCCGCTGGGCAAGGGCAGGGGGCGGCGTAACGGGCGGCACGCCTCGCTCTTACGCCAGTCACGACCGCCAACGGCCGAGAACGGGGAGGCAAAAGGCTTCGACCGCATACAGGACGGCACGCCACGGCGCCCGGCCCGCACGGCTGTGCTCCCCAGCATCGGCCAGCAGGGAGTGACAGATACGAGTGCAGGAGGTGCAGGATCGCAGTGGAGCGGCGCTGGCTGCCGGTAATGGCTGGGCGTGGGCGGCACTGGGGCCGTGTTTGGGCCGCCGTAACTCACACAGCCGCTTGACACGTGCATTGCGATGCTGACCTGCATCGAATACAAAACAAAATTGACTGATAATTTACCCTAATTCAATAATTCCCTGGCTCAGCAGAACCACGTCGGCTGTTGCCCGATGGCCAAATGTTTAGTCTGGTGTTAGTGACGTTTTTTAAAGGAAAAGCGTTCCGTTCTTTTTTAATTTCTTATTGTGATGCTCGCCGTATATAAGATACCGAATTCCGCGTTGCATTGAGTGCTAACGTTCAAAGCATCATTCGGGTGCGCCAGAAGTAAGAATTTTCCAGAAAGCCTAGAAATGAATGGCAATAGAACAATACACATGCCTAGTTTATGTTAATATCCCGTACATCCGATAATTTCTGCCCTACCCGGGCTTTGCGTCCAGACCTCCACGACCAGTTTGGACACCACTCGTATGCTTGCTAACACATACATCCAATCGCTCGCTCCGAATGTGGTGATGACATTATCGCGTTTGTCTAAGACATCCAACCCGATTTCCGTTCACTTATCTCTCGCACCGTGCGCACGTCCTTTTATCAGCGTTCAGCTCCACGAACATCAGTTTACTCCATGGCTTTCACCACTACCTCCAGGCCACGAACACCAGTCCACCGCAGCTCCCCGTGCCCCGGTTGACATCAGCCTCCTCCTCGTCCAGCTGCAGCTCCCCGTGCCCCGCCCTCCAGCTCCAGCTGCAGCTCCCGTGGCCCTCCCTCCAGCTGCAGCTCCAGCTCCAGCTGCAGCTTCTCGTGCTCCAGCCTCTAGCTCCAGCTCTAGCTCCCGTGCTCCTTTCCCCAGCTCTCGTGCCCGGCCTTTAGCCCCAGCCCCAGCCCCAGCCCCAGCCCCAGCCCCAGCTCCAGCTCCCGTGCTCCTCCCCCAGCTCCAGCTCCTCGTGCCCCGCCCTCCCAGTTCCCCGCGCCCACCCACCCCCCCCCCCCCAGCTCCAGCTCCCGTGCCCCGCCTCCCAGCTCCAGCTCCAGCTCCCGTGCCCCGCCTCCCAGCTCCAGCTGCAGCTCCCGTGCCCCGGCCCCCCCCGCGCGACGCGGCGGCCCCCGCCCGGTGAGCGGCGCCTCGATCGATCGGCACCGGCGGCCGCCGCCGGCCGGTGCTCACCAGCGGTCAGCGCGGCTGGTCTGCCACGACAGCACGACCCCGGCGTCGGACTACCCCGGCGACGCGGCGCCGCTCAGGGGTGGACACTGTACACAGAAGACATGGACGTCCCACCGCTCACGTGGTGAAACACACCCTGGGGCGCGGGAGGGATTATGGCCCGTACTGTGGGATGTGGGGTGGGTGCAGCAGGGAGCCATGCTCTGTGGAAAATGGACGTTTGATGTAGGGATCACATGAGAGTGAGGTTCATATGATCCTTCGGACATCCACCGGAAGTGAAAGATCTCCACAAGCAACCGTACTCGTCACCGTCGGAGTGGCATCAAATGTAACTGCGTTACCAGTATCAATTTGGTTCGCTATGTTGCCATGGGGATGCCGGGAACACTGCACCTATTGCACGATAGCCAATAATCGATGCGATCCGTGGAGCAATGAGTACCGCCTAGATAAACCGAGTAATCATGCCATGAATAACCCGGGACACCCAGCCAGCCAGGCGCCCGACTGATCGACATCTGGGGGACACGTGGCCACTAAACCAACCACGGCCTGCATCGAACGGCCGCCCGTCTGGGACTTATGGCGCATCGTGCCGTGCCGACTGTCCGGTTACGAGACACCTATCCTCGGGCGTCCGCCCTAATGGACGGCGCATTTAATAGGTGCGGTCGAGTATGGTCCGTTTGACAGTTTGGCTACCGGAATGTTGGAGGGCACGAAGTGATACTTGACATCGGCACGCGAGTCTTTATCGGTACTCGCTCTGAGGGTTCACGACTTTAAATATACCGGGCGGTAAACTGGATGAGGAAATATTTTCCACCAATCATTGGAGTACATCACGAAATCGATTGACTTTTCAGCAACATCCACGCGAGTGGATGTAGTCATGCACCTTGGTATCCACGACGATGAGCACTGCCGAACATGTGGCGTACTTTTGTAGCATGTCCCAATGACTACTTGGTGACTTGAACCAGTGCCTCTCGGTACACCGAAGACGGTTATTTTCGACGCAAATACCACAACGGTGAGAATAAGGTTCCCAGAGCACGAAACCGCCTCGCGTTAATTCGAACAGTTTTCATGAGCACCGTTCATCCTCGAGCTGAACACTGAAACGGATTATTTTCAAACAAAGCTGCGCGTGAGCATACACACATAGCACATACGCAGCCGCCTCCGCACAGCAAAAACAAACAACTAAAACAGAACGACACCACCGCCAAGCGCCGAAATCGGCCGCCCCACCTCGTCCCAGCGCGGCGACCACCCCACTCACCGAGAAGTACTGTTTGACGTGGTCGAACCGTTCGGCCAGGTTCATGTCCTTGTGGGCCAGCGTCTGTAACAGCGAGCAGACGATGATGGCGCCGGCGTTGATCATGGGGTTGTGCGGCTTCTTGTTGTGGTCGAGCACCAGCTCGTTGAACATGCGACCGCTGGGCTCCTGGCCGACGTACTGGTGCACCAGCTCCTGGCCCAGCTCGTCCAGCACCAGACCGTACGTCAGCGGCTTGCTGACGGCACAGACGACGCGGCAGCGGGGTCAGTGGCGCTGGGGTGGCGGGCGGCGCGCTGACCAGCATCAACGAGCGCCACGGCTCGCGCAGCGGCGCCGCCGGAACACCGTGTTGCTGGGGTTATGTTCGGCAGCTGTCAAGCCCGACGAGGAACAGAAGCCACGTAGCTGGACGGCTTAGCGGCCAGCACTGACAAAGCCCCAAAATGGGCAATGCTGAAATATTTATTGCGCACTTACTAATGCGTGAAGATCCATGGCCATGTCAGTCAACCACAAACAAGGTGCAGAGGGCAGTGAGTACAACGGCAATAAATCACCAACTGCACTGGAGCACGATGGTCTGTGTGAGTAACCGCACACTGCACAAATGACAACAGCTTGTTCGCGGCTTTGGCAGAGCCCCAGGCATAGAATGAACTGGACAGCGAGCCCCCGCGCAGGTGACAGCAGCCCGTATAGCTGTAGGCGACTGTTCCTGAAACTGACAATAACCCACCCAGAACTGACAAAACTGACACCTGAAACTGACAGTAACCCACCCAACCGACTGGGCCACACAGCGCCACACGGGCTCGGGTCGGCAGCGGGGACGCCATCAATTTGCCGCAGGCAGCGGCCAGTGGCAGGCACTACGTGCGACAGCGGCGGCCAGAGAGGGCGGCGCCCCACCTGATGGACTGGACGGTGAAGGGCACGGCCACGTCCCCGATGCAGTAGCGCTGGCCGTCCACCGTGCACACGGACACGCCCCAGTAGTTGGGCTCGACGCGGGCCAGCTGCGGGATGTAGGAGGCCACCTGGTGGCGGGCGGCACGCGGTCAGGGGCCGGCACGGCACGGCACGGTACGGCATGGAACAGCACGACACGGCACGGCACGACACGACACGACACGACACGGCACGGCACGGCACGGCATGGCACGGCATGGCACGGCACGGCACGGCACGGCACGGCACGGCACGGCACGGCACGGCACGGCACGGCATAGCATAACACGGCGGGACACGCCAGTACACATAGCGGAGTCAAGGGGCGTCGACGCATGAGATCGGGAAAAGAGTTTGCTGGGGGATATAATTCTCTAATCACGTATGCTAAGAAGGATATAATTCACATTCACAGTTACGTAAGTTATTCAGTGCATTGGCGAGGGACATTATTCACATAGATAAGGCAGTAGTATTGACCTTATTCCTCGGAGAAAAACCAGGAGAATGGAGACATAGTTGGGTTGATATTTCGGCAACACGCCTTTATCGAGACACTGTTTCGATAAAGCCTTTAAAGCCTTTGAAGCCTCGAAATAACATGCCTTTGTCGAAACACCGTTTCGATACAGGCATATTGCCGAAATATCAACCCAACTATGTCTCAATTCTGCTGGTTTTTCTCCGAGGAATAAGGCTAATACTAATGTCTCATCAGTTAACGTTCTCATGTAATTCAATAATCCACACAGTGCGTCGACGACTAAGCAAATATGGTGGGTCGCCTACCCAGCCCTTTGTATCAACGTCAGAGCCTGCCCTGTGCATCACGTATGGTGGAAGGGCAACCTACGGCCCGGAAATCAGGGTCCGGACAGCCGGTATGCGCGGCGAGCAGCTGCAGGTAGAACGACTCATCAGACCAGGACTACCAGTCGTTGCTTCACCCATCACCAGACTATCCGACAGGCGTGGAGCCAAACTAACAGGCATAACTGACGGCGATACCGCGCATCAGTTCACTGTTGTGTGAGAACAAGTGTGTGCCCCGGCCTGTCAGCGGTAGATTACACATTGCTCTTAAAGCCTCAAACCCGAATACTTTAATAAGGTGAATTTCTGTGATCAGCGTCCCCGATAAGCAGTGCTTTTTGTGTGAGCCCTGGTCCAGCCACCCAGTTGGGAAATCCCGGGTCGGCGTCAGAATGTTGCGGCGAAGGTCGACGAACCATAATGCTCGACACAGTTCATCCTGCCCTCTGACATCACCTGACCTTAAGCTAGGCCGCTGACACTCACTATAGCCCATCCTAGTCAGGGGTCAATGAAGAGTGCCCAAAGCGGCTCCAGCACCACGTATGGGTAAATCCAAAAGCGGACACTCCAGCTGAGCTGCCGGAAAGATGAGAACTTTTGAAGGGTAAGGAAGGATTATTTTCGAAAAAGCTTAAATACCTGCTCGTAAACTCACGGCTACCAGACCGATTTTATGCTTGCTTTTAAGATAAACTCTGTGTCTGATTTGGAAAACACGGTCTTCATGACGACGTCTGCCCTGCAATGATTAACAAAACATGAACTGATCAAAAATGACGCGAAATCTAGCCTTCCAATGCTTATATAATAAAAATCTACCTTTTCTTGCACAACCCAACGTTGCGACTAAGAGGCAGCATCACGCCAAGCCACGCCACACCACGCCACGTCACGTCACGTCACGTCACGTCACGTCACGTCACGTCACGTCACGTCACGTCACGCCACGTGACGACACGTCGCGTCGTGTCAAGACAGAATACATCACGTCACGTCAGGCCACGACAGCACTGCACCATATCACGCCAGACCACATCACACAGGGGCAGCTCCACATCTCATTAAGTCACGGCAGCTCATCGCACACCAGTGTACTGTACTCTGGTGCCCAGCGCACAGCGTCCGTTGGAGCGTCAGCCCCTCGGGTACACGGCTACTCGAGCTGTCGTTCAGCCGGTCTCTCGGGTCCTCAAAACGAAGTAGCATCGAAACTATTCTCGGCCTGCGCTCGCGTCAGAGACTTTGCGAAAATAGTGTCTTGCTCAACCCGGCCTACAAAGGGCACCCACCACCGTTAATCCCTCCGTCTCTCAGCCAGAGTTTCGTAATTCAAGGGACGTAGCCGTAGTCCCCGCCAGGGAGGATTCAGATGCGCGCTGCATTTAAAAGCGTCTCCGTAGTGGCGCGGAACCTCTGGAGCCAACGGAAAATCCCCAATAAGCCGGTAGATTTTCGGTATCAGAAACGTTCGCTCGGACTGGGGCTTAGCTGGCCCGGACATATCTGTGTTTCAATGTGATTCACAAAGGCAGCGTAGACGCCTAAGCAGACGCAGATCGACTCAACACTCTGAGGACAAGTGTGAGACGAACTTGGATTGGGTTGACTCTAGAGCGACGCGGTCCGAACGTCATCCCGCACAGCACCACCAACAATCGTTAAAACAGACCCACCAGAATCAGACTGACTGGGGAGCCAGCGCGCTTCGACACTCGTGCCACACGTAATGGGTCGTTGCTCTGTCAGCTCAGGCTCATACACATACCTTGGCAAGGTGAGTCGCAAGGTCTCAGACAAGCATGCAAACAAACAAACATGTGAAAACACTGGAAACTATCTGATGGCTGTGATAGGTACAAGGGTAATTCGGCCAATAGCCACCAACATCACGACGATACGACATAACCGGACATGGAATGAAGTGTAAGTAATTAATCCGAATTAAACATCAATGCTGAGCAATACCAGCATTGCGACCATGCAATTCACTGTTCGTGCCACACCTATTCCAAACTAAAAGACTTGCACTCTATAACAATAGAAACAAAACACAAACGCCATGACAGAAACACATCGTACTGCTAATGAGCTCTGCTGACGATGTGTTTTTCATGGGGTGATATCGTCGACGACGTAACAAAACGTTAAAGACTGTAAACAGGATGTCGCGCGAGAACGTGCATCGGTTGGCGCGCGTGCAACCAAGGCGCCGACGAACCACCGGTTGGCCGCCACTGGTTATCTAGCAGGTACCAGACACCGCTCCCCGTTCGCGGTCCACGTGCCGAGCGTCGCCTCAGAGGGCCGACACTCAGTCCCACTGATCCATCTGCCACGCGTCCGGACCGGACGTCGAAGCTCTCACTCACTCACCTCGCCGTCCTACAGCCGGCAGCCGGGGCACACAGAGGGACGTCAGCCACGCCGCACTGAACGCGCGCCGCGTGGCCCCTTCTCCGAACAACCCCACACCCACCCACATGTGTGTCGGTCCAAGAGGGGACAATGGGCGCGGCCGACCCCGCCACGTCCAAAATACCCCCGCAGCACAGGGGCCAAACGACACGCCACCGCGCCATCGTTCTCCCTGTGCGCGGCCGTGCAGAGCCACCACGGACTTCCGTTACGGCGGAGCATTTGCCCGCGGATAAGGAAGATTACAGAGTGCACAGCTGTTGAGTGCTAATATAACACCCTGACCAAAGACATCCCTCAAATAGCGGTGGTAGCGACATGGGAGAAGGACGCGCCACATATGGTGAGAACAGCGTACTGGTCAGGCAAAAGCACGGAACCATCGGAGCGCAGGCAGATGGCATGGTGGGGCGCGGTGTGGTGGCACGAGACACGTGACGTCCAGACGCCTGTCGGAGCGGCGGCTGGTGAGCGGGACTGTCGGGCCGACGGGGCGGCGGCCGCGGCCGACAGCTCACCTTGCCGCCGGGCGACGTCTTGCAGTGCCAGTAAATGGCCTCCACGTCGCGGCAGAAGTTGGTGAAGTCGGGGATGACGAAGCGCTGCCGCATGGCGCGCGAGATCACGTGAATGTTGCCCGTCACCAGCCTACGACAGAACGGACGCCGATCAGGCTGGGCGGCGGCCGCGAGGGCTGCGGAGCCGGCAAGAGCGTGACCACGACGGGCCAGGGCGGGTCAGCCGTCAACACGGACGCACCAGGCGGCCGGGTGAGACGCAGAGGACTGCGCAGAGCGCCGCTCACCGTCTGAACGTGGGCAGATCGAGCACCTGGCTCTCCGGGCTGTGCACGTCGGGCAGGTTCTCCCGCTCCAGGAACACCTTGTGCAGGCTGTCGTTCATCTCCTGCAGGCGGCGGTCGTTCTTGCGCAGCCCGGTCTCCCGCAGGGCCTGCAGCACGCCGCCAGTCACACCTCCGCCGGGGGGGGGGGGGGGGGGGGGGGGGCGGCGGGCCGGGGGCGCCGGCGCAGCGCGACGCGCCGGTCGCATTGTGATGTGGATGGCGCTCTCTCTGCAGCGGCGCTCCAGCAACACACAGCCGGTGCCCAGCGCGGAGAGACTATAGCTTTGAAACACGGAGTGTGTTCATTAATGAGCATTCCCTAGGATAATGAGTCAGCGAGCGGGCAGTTGGGCGCAGTTCAATAGTTTCAGGGTCAATTTAGACACGCAAGAATGGAAAACAATGCTGCTACTCTAGCACGACACTCACGGCCAGAAATTTGCCGATCTGAATCGTCTTGCCGTCCTTAGAGAACATGTAGAATATGTTGTCCTCCAGCATATCGTAGGCCTCGCGCTGTTCTGCGGGACTGGAACAGGTCGACACAAGCGTCACCACAACCAACGAGGTGACCGCCCCGTCCGTGCATCACTCGCCCGCCTACTCGTTGATGGCCAGCAGCAGCCATTACCACGGCGATCAGGACAGCGATATGGGGCAGTAAAGGCATACCGCGATATCTGTCAGTGCATCGAAAGGAACCCAGCACGACATGCAATTAGTTATGTAATATGAATACCAAATAATGGGCAGTTGCGCGCCCCCGTATGCACCTGCCGTCATATGCGGCCGGTTGTAAGCAAACGCGCAGCCCGAGCGACGCGTGCCACATCGTGTGTTACGCATGAAAAAACACGACGGTGTGGACTGTGGGTGTCACTGCATGCTTACGGGTTGGATGGGGTGGCGGCTGAGGCCGAAATGTTTATTTGAGTCCACTCAATGCCCTTCTGAGCCCCCTCCCAACGCATATGAGCGAAACAGGGTATACTGGGGGCCTTTAAATGCGAGTGTCTGGACTGCTGGCACGCTAGATACCTAAATGTGTCACTTTCAATATCATCATCATATACCATCATCATCACTATCATAGAAGCTTCAGAAAGGAAGTCAGTCCTCAGCATTAAAACGATTTCGGAAGTGACCAAAATTAATTTTGACATCAGGAGTGCTCATCAAGGTGACTGAAATCCGGGGAGAAACAATGACTAGGGAGAGACTTAAACTGTACTGGCTCAGCTTCCCTCCGCGACCTATTTTAGAAAGTGACACCTCTGGTGCGGACAGCTTTGGGTACTGGCATCGAGAAGGACACATAGCAAGGCAGCCAGCAGTTTATGCATTACTAACATCAGTTACGAAACCACACCGGAAAAGCGAGCTCACATACAAAACTGCTTACATCTGTTTAAGTCCGTTTTCGTGCGGTGTTAACCCAGCAGCTAACACCAATCACCAACACGAATACAAACGTTTGGTACTTTGCACCTAACGTTTATTTAGCTACCTTTTGTTGATGATTTCATCGTCAATCTCGTCGGCGGGGGCGAATACTTGGTTCTTCCACGAGCCCTGGGGCTTATCCTGAAACGAAACCAACGTCAAATCAATACAGGCGGTTGGTCGGTCACGAGGAACGGGAGGATGTTGCTGAGTCCCGCCCCCACACCGCATTGTAAGAGGAGGACGCTGGTCCTCCCACGCAGGTCGCAAGTGTATCCACTGACGTCAACGCCATGGAAACCCCGGAAGGACCACAGACGACGTTACACTTTTCCCTGGAGGCAGATGGCGGTATCTTTTGACTGATATCAACTTAACCCACGGGCATGTAAAGTCACGTACTTAACAAAAACGTAGTTCTAACCACATCGCTTCACCCGACCGGAGAAGTCGACCGCACGACACCGCGAGGCGACCTAAGCAACAACCGTAGATCGCGAACAGAGAACTTTGAGTTTTTGTGTAATACATTAGGTCTGGAATCAGCAAAGAGGTCAGTCTTGTGCTGTGGAAGGTGGTACGACAATGAGGGCCGGCAAAGGTGGAGGCATTCTGAGCCCTTTACTATGGCTTGGTTATCAAACAGCGTTCTTCCACGCCCGATTCGGCCACTATATGAATTATGATCAACTTTGGCTGCATGTGCAGGTGCCTTGTGGTTAAACATACGTAAGGTCAAATACGAACATTTTGTTTCCGCCTCGCCTCGCCTCGCCTCTCCGCGCCGCGCTGCGCCGCCCAACCCCGCCCCACCCCGCCCAACCTCGCCCCGCCCCGCCCCGCCTCCTACCCCGTCTGCCCCGCCGTTCCTGCTAGAGTGAGAGGCAGGCGACGTCATATAGCCTAAACACCTGACGGCTACGAACATGTGGTTTTACTGCTGACTCGACCCAGTGCCATGACATTAATGACCAGGCGCCAAAAGACTTCGGGTGATACGGTTACGATGCTATTTCATCAGTCATCATCACAATGTACCAGGAATTACTGCGAGTACAAATGAGAAATGAGTCTGACACAGGGCACTTCTTACATGTTTGCCAAGTGCATTCCACAGCATCACGTTTCGCGTCCTATTACTTACATTTACATCATGTGGCATATTTCCAGGATTTAACTGCACAGAGAGCTTCATAGAACTGTGTGGTGCATCACCGCGGAACGAATTTCCCGGTCGCATGCACGCTTGTTTACCAGAGTTTCAGCCTATGTTCAATAGCCCCGGATTCTATGTTGCCGCATCAGTGGTCAAGTGTGATCATTGCCTATCACGTTTGCCCTATCCGATGGAGCGTGAGGCGCGATGGGTGCAGCCTAAAAAGTACATTACCACCCAGACACAAACCCATCAGCACGACCGGTGGTTTCAATGGCTAGACAGTGTTCCCATCTGCGGTAATTCACCCTCCCGCGGAGACCGCCGTGGCAGTTAATGACGCAATGCTGGGAACTTTTGTAATCGAATTACAAGTTTACCTAGTCCAGTGCATGCAATGCTTCTTTATCGCTATCACGACGATACGATTCGCTTGCCGGCGACCTCCTTGCTTCTGATATTGCGCAATCCCACGCAGAACGTTCTGCGGCTCGGCCGGGCGGTGACAGGAGATATCTATATAGGGACTCACCGATCGCATGATGTTAAAACCATACGTTTGACGCATGACTTAATTGCGAGTACGGGTCGATTAAGACCGAAGAACACCGATAAGGAAACAAGAGCAATTACTTGCGGCAAACGAGCAACGACAAACCATGCACTTCTTCCGTGCTCACGCCTTTTTCTGTGATAAAAGTATGTCAGTTATAAAAAAACGATCCACAAGCGATGCGACGCCCTGTTCGGCAGTCCCCAGTGCCCCCAGTTCAGGTCTGGTGACCGATCTCCGCCTGTCACTGCGGCAGTTATCTCCCTGTCAGCCGGTGCGCGCCACCGGTGGCCGGCGCCAAGTGAGCCCGGACGGCCGGGGAGCCGCGCAGCTGTGGCGCAGACACGGCCGGACCGGCCGGCCGCCACGCCCGGCACCGGCCTGACCGCGCAGCGCGGCGCCGGCCGCCCCGCCAGACGGGATGGGTGACGCCTCCGGCCCGGGAGGGCGGCGGCCGCACCGACACCAGCACCGATAGCGAGGCGCGGGTGCAGACGAAATCCCTCGAATATCTGCCACGCCCTGGGGTGATCTGGAGTCTGACACACATTTGTTTGTTCTCGTATAACTAGAATAAGACGACGGTACCCAAACACGCAACACTAAACGCACCATGTAAGGGCGGTTTGCCTCCATTTGTCGAAATTTTGCCAAATGATCCTCCCATAAGGCTAGGTAAGTTCTTCGCCACTCCCCCCCCCCCCCCCTCCCGTCACAACGGACATTAAACCGAATCGCCCACCGCACAACTTGCGACGTAGCGTCAGCACGTTCTAAGCCAAGCGGGGGTTTTCGAATGGGACAGGTGACAATCAAGGCTATTGGAATTTATTTCGTAATTTATGTAATCGACATTGCAATGTAATATCCACGGGCGTAGCAAATGTTTTCTTGGGGAAGGGATGGAAGGAGACAAAATCGAGTTAGAATGCATTGCGGCAACTTTTTACTTTTCATCAGAAGCCATCTATGCTAAAAAAGGAAAAAGGCAGGCTTCCCCACCTGCTTGGCTGCCCCCCTGATAGAAACGCGTTTTTCAAGAGTCGATGCCAACAAGCAGTTACAACATTGTTTAACAAATGCTTGCCTCATCCGATCCCGGAAAATGTAACAATATGCATCTTTCATGCCGAAAAATTCAATTCCCAGCACATCTGTCAGCCTCCCTTCATTCGTTTGGTCAACAAACTGGCCGTTCACAGCTAGTTTATAACACAATCCCCGAATTAGCAGCTCACAGGGTTTCTACCATTGCATTTTTACGCACGCGCTAAAAAGCTGCATCGTAAATGTTCATCGCTTTGCACTTCAAAACATTCTGGAAGCTCCCCAGCAAGTTGGATTGCCACTGATAAGATTGGTCAGATTTCTGCGCGCATCTTTCAGGAATTTCTGGCAGAAATTTCCCTAAAAGTTAACGGTCAGAAGCTTTTCTTAGGAAGCTTTCAAAGAGACGCCCTTATATGTAGTCAATATCGACAAGTAAAATCTTCCGATTAATCCCGTCCTTTCAGAGAATCTCCCGGATTCACCTGACTTACGCACTCAGCATTTAACTATGCATGTCACTATCGCACCCAATAATAATGAGCGCGGGACGATGAGAACGGGATCTTTGAGCAAACGCGTGGGCTTTTGCAGGTACCAGTGACACCCAGCAATTAAGTGTAGTTGAATATGCCTGTGATGATATGTAGATCAGAAGAACGCTCAGCGACTTACGGTCGAATCTCACCATTTGGAGATTAAACACTGCAAATGATGGTGAACGCCACCAACGAACGGTATCAAATCAGAAGCACTTTCTGTCAAGCGTTAGATCGATGAGTGCGAAACATGGCTGAAAAAGACAAGCTGCACGTCAAGTATGGAACGGAAGAGAGGCCTTCATCAGTAATGTTACCATTCCAGTACACTATTATCTATGTAACGCGGCTAACACTTCTATGCCCGATTTTATGTGACCGCACACGCCATCTAGGAGAAATAACGGATGCGAAAAAACCACATGAGAACAAACCGAATGAATGCTGGCGACACATGAGGGAAGAGGCAGAGGAGCGTCCTCTACGGCGACTTACATTGACGTCTGAGAGACTGTGGCACCTCCTGGCGTGGCGGAGTGGAGGCAGCGGCGGCGGTGGCGGCGGAGGGTGGGCCGCACCGCCGGCCGCTCGGCTCGGCGTGCCGGGCGCGCTGGCGGGCAGCCGGCGTGGCCCGGCGCCGGCCGGCGACAGCGCACGGTGCTGTCGCAGCACGCGGAGGACGGCGTGCGAGCGCTGCAGCATGGTGAAGTGCCACTGACTCGCGTCTCGTCGGGCACGCGCGTCGCGTCACCGCCGACGGCGCAGCGGACGGTCGGAAGTGGTGCACTCCCGGTCGGCCGGCGAACACTGGCCGCCGCGAGTCTCACCGTGCCGCGCAGTCGGTCGCGTGACGCGATCGCCCGAGGCCGAAATAGCCGAGCTCGCGTCGGGAGCGCCGCGTCAGTCCGCAGCCGGCCGCGCCGCGCGGTGCCCACCGTCTGCCGGCTGCGTCAGGGCTGCGCGTGGGCGCCGTGCCGCGCGGGTCGATGCCACCTCAGACGGTGGGTGTGTCCAGTGACGTCATGGTGACGTCGACCCTGGATCGCCACGCGGGGACGGGCGGTGCAGTGGCGGTCAGCAGAACGACCGGAAGGCGTGGGAGTTTGATATCTCGGAGAAACCGTCTGGAAAAAGGCGTGATGTCTCAATGCTCCATAAATGTCTTCCTGCCGAAGTTGGCGACATATTCTCAGTGCTGGGAAGGAAGGAATATTCTCCTTTTATTTCACTTGCTTCCTCCCATGTCCCAAAGTGAAACCAAACAGGATGCTCCCTGACGTGGTGACTAAATGCTTGCCCGATGCCGTGCGACAAAGATCCGTACATTTTTTAGCAATCTCTAGGGCATTTGACTATCATGGGGACCAAATGGAAGCAACGACAGATTGCAGCAGTCAAAAAATCACATTACACGGAGTCGGCAGAGCGCCTTGATCTTGCGCGGCAGTCAAAGTCTGGTTGGGTATGGCAACGAAGCTTCGTAGACAGCAGCGACACCAATGCACGCGGATAGCAATAAAAGGGGCCGCAGTTGGGGCAGTGGATGCATCACGAAAAGGCAAGAATTGGTGGCTATTGGCTAACGCGTGAAACTGTATCGTTGTCATGAATCTTGAATCTCTCATGACCCAAGTCTTGAATGTTCGTTGTTTGCATCAACCGGAGCACAAAACCGTCGTGCGTAGCAATCGTCATATTTTGGAACACACAGCGGCTCATGTGCGAAGTGCTCCCGACAGACAACCCTCTGCATGAGTTTTGGTCCTCTGCCCATCCATCGTGACAAGCTCGTCCATAGACGTAGGAGCGGGGTCCATGGATGCTATACGATGATTACCCACTTTCCAAGAATGCGGAATATCAAACCAGTGACGACGCATGAAAAGGATCGACTTAAACATTGGGTTGCATGCCCACTTTCTGAGATGTTCATTCACCTATCGAACGCCAACCACTCCACAAGCGGCCCAACGTCCCGGAGTCGCTCACAGCGTGCACGGGGTTGCACAGGCTTACTGAACAAGTTTTTTGTCGTTACAGCGTCAATTTAAAGGCAACAAGTGGAGGCTGTTCAATATGACAAAACATAAGCCAAAGATGCTGAACCTGTACCAATTGAAGGTTATTTTACACATACCTGACGTCATACAATACTAGCTTTGCTTGCTGTCTTGTTTGTGAACCTTGAACGGCTTCAATCGAACAGGATGAGAGTCGGTAGTTTGCCGAGGTTATCCACGTAGACCCCGCACACATTCAGCACGGCACCCCACGGTGTAGGGCCTCACGCTGCAGTATCGCATGGACGGGGATTCGGCAGTGAAGGTAGTACGAACGGGCATGGTTTTCCTACGCATTGTTTTCTCAAACGTTAAAGTATCATTAACTGAGTGGATGCCAGTTCGTATGAGGCACGCGTTAAAAGATCGCCAAGCGTTTGACTTTTGTAAACATACCGATATTAGCGGCTAAACTCTGGGTTCCC